CTGAGCCAGCCAGGCGCCCCAGAAGAAGGGAATTTTTTATAAAATCTAGCTATCCTTCCATTACTGCTCTTAGTTCACCAGAGACATGGAGGAAAGTACATTCAACATTAAGAGCAAATAAAAAACACCATGGTCCTGAATCCTTTTCCACCAAATATCCTTTACTTCTCTCTCCCATGCTGATTTTTTAAATTTTTTTCCCCTTCCATTCCCCTTATCTTCCAGGCTTCTCTTTTTGCTTTCTGCAACCACACATCATTATCATCATATGCCCTTTTTCTTTCACTTAAGAGGCTCCAAAATAAAGAAAGGAATTAAAATACACACAAAAATAGCACAGGTTCTGTATGTGTTTCACACACCCTTCTTATGCTGGGGTAGGGAAAACAATCTCTACCACTTGTCACCTATCCTGTTGATACAGTATTGGCAGAACGTAGGCCACAGTGCCAATATTTTTATGATACTTTCTCCCTCTTCCTTTCTCTCTTCTCCTGAAAAAGGTAGTTAGCAATTTATAAATTCAATTAAGTGCTAGCTATGTGGATGCTAATAACCTAAGCTAGCACTTATTTACTACAGTATAAAGACCCCTTTTAACCCCCCAAAATGTCAAACACATTATACATACACACGCGTGAGCGCACGCGCGCGGGGAATAATCCTTTTGGTATCTGGTCCCTGAGAAAACGCAAACCTAGTAGGCACTGCTATTTGGGTAACTTCACTGACTGTGACCTTTATCAATCACAACAACAACATTTACATTTCACAAGAGCAGATGTGCGCAAAGCTTTGTGTGAATTCAGGTCCCCAGGTCCTTAGGACCTTCAGCGCACAAACTCCTCAGCCCTCCCGGGAGTCCGCATCTAAAGAATGGGAATCCTCACTCTGGGCACCCTGGACTCAACTCTTCTTTACTGATTAAGAATTGTCCAATTTTGTTCATGAGTTCACTGAAGAAGTTAGCATAGAGTTTGACAAAAATTTTAATAGAGCAAAGTTCCTTCTGCTCACTGAGGATCTTTAGGGGATGGTGTGTCAGAGTCCTCCCCACAGGAAATCCTTGCCTCCCCCCTTCTCTCCTCCCATGCCACCCTCCCTCCTCCCCTCCCCTCCTCACTTAGAACTTGTATTTGGAAGTGTTTAATAAATGATTACTACCTTTTTGCTAGCTATTACCATGATTACCCCTTTTCCTCCTCTTCCCCACCCACTGCACCCCATAAGTTTCCAAATCCCAGACGTGTCATGGCTAAGAAAAGTCAAGAAGAAACAAAACCTCGAAAACCTAGTTTTTATATCAAATAAATGTTCACAACTTTTTTTCATTAAACAGGGGTAGGTAAGAAAGTAAACCTGCGACTGGTCCTCTCACTACCATATTTAAGATGAATACATTCATTCATTCAACAGGCAGCAATTAAAGAGCAGATACTCATAGTAAGATTTGCTCCTAAAATCTGCAGAAGGGGGCCCCCTTGCAACTGATAATGTGTTCCTCTCAACTGGCAATAACATACAAATCAGGTATCATGTGGTTTGTGTTGTTGTTGTTTTTAATTCATTCAATATGTTCTCTGTCCTTAATTTAAAAATTAACATTTTCCCCTTTCTCCAGAGTATAAAACCAAAAAATAGAACTATAACTTTCTGTCACCCTGCTGCATTTCATCTTATTAGTCAGCCTTTCTGAACAGGACTCCATACCTCCCCTACAAAATAACATTCAATGGGAGGTGCCTGGGTGGTTCAGTCGTTAAGCATCTGCCTTCAACTCAGGTCATGATCCCAGGGTCCTGGGATCGAGCCCCACATTGGGCTCTCTGCTCCACGGGAAGCCTGCTTCTCCCTCTCCCACTCCCCCTGCTTGTGTTCCCTCTCTCGCTGTGTCCCTCTCTGTCAAATAAATAAATAAAATCTTAAAAACAAAACAAAACAAAATAACATTCAATGGGCCTCCACTATTCTGTTAAAGGTAAAAATATAACCTTAAATTTCAAGGTATTACTGGGATCTGTTAAGAAAACATATTTTCTAATTTAGGCTCCAAAACAACCTTCAAAATTCCATATATTGCTTCAAATCAGATTTATTTCTTAATGAAGGATCCTAAGTCTACAAAAGTGAATTAGGATTATTTTTTGTTTTGTTTCTCCCATTTCCCAAAACTGAGTAAGAATTAATTCAGCCAACACTAGCTGTCACACAGGACTAGCAATTCCCATGAAGCCTTCGGTTAAAAATATGAGATGGAAGAATTATTAAGAATAGCACATCACTGTTTATATTTATTATATTTTGTACTTAGCAATGCTGCTTCTCCACTGGATGGCCTGAAATATCAAAAGATCATGCTATGCTGCAGACAGTGAACAAAATCAATTGCGGAAAATGATAAGTTTTGGTTTCTTGCAAACAAGTAGCTTCTCCCTTCTTTTAAAGAAAACAGGATTTCTCAAAACAAAACCAGAGAGGGGGACAAACCATAAGAGACTCTTAATCTCAGGAAACAAACTGAGGGTTGCTGGAGTGGTGGGGGTGGGAGGGATGGAGTGGCTGGGTGATGGACATTGGGGAGGGTATGTGCTATGGTGAGCGCTGTGAATTGTGTAACACTGCTGAATCACAGACCTGTACCCCTGAAACAAATAATACACTATGTTAATAAAAAAAATTTTTTTTAAAGATGGGATTTATCATTTTTACAAAAAAAAAGAAATACTGATCATATGTAAATTCCAAATAGCTTTAAGACTTAAGGCCATGACTCAAACACTCAAACAGTTAAATTAAAAAAAAAAAGAAAAAAAAACCTTAGACTTTAAAAATATAAGTAACTGGTGAACGAGAAATTGAAGGATGTGATGTAATGTTACATGATCCTACAAGCTATTACATTCATGGGCAGGACATAGCATTAATAGGCCATGAATTTTTTTTTAACTTCATATTCTTGTTTCTCAAGTTTTTTCAAACACATTAAAAAGACAAAAGATTTGACTACTCATTATTGTATGCCTTTAAAAAAAGAGAAGAAAAAAGGAGTAATTTCTATTTTTAATATATACACATTAATGAATCAACTTCTGTGTTTGCAAAGTGTTGGCTGACCCATAAACTACATTTATCACCCATGAAGTCAGCATATCACAAAAGCCATATATATGTCTAAGCACCCCCAAAAGAATAACAAACAAAGCAAGCAAGCTCTGGTAAAACTGTATAAAGCTGTCACAAGCATAGTGGCTGATTTCTAAACTTTAAAACCATGACCACATGCAACCTCCCTTTCCATCAAATTTAACTACAAGAGCTTAGGTAAAACGATTTAAAAAATAAACAACAACAATAAATAAATGTTATCACCAAAATATTTTAGAATCTTTCCTTAGAAGAAAGTATTTTAACCACAGAAACCTCACTCATTCCTAACTTGTTTCTCGCTAATATTCATCCATTCTGTCCAACCTTCAATTTATCAATAGAGAATTCATTCTATTCAAAAGAGCTGACATAATTATTGCCGCCATCCCACTGAGAATGCTCTTCCTGGTAACCAAACTCCAACGTTACAGTTGGCCCCCGGACCACTCACTAATTTACACCACCACCCTCTCCCCTTCCCATCACCACCATTTTACTGGCAGAACACTCACAAGGGTCTAGATTGTTTTTCATCTCAGCAAACAAGAGTGTTCAAAATCGGACGGCTAGCCACAAACTGGGAGTTAGAAACTACATAGAAATAAACACAAATGTGAATAAATTCTTCTATTTTCAGTTTCTAAAGGAAGTAGTTAACGTCTTATTTGTAATGCTCTAAATTACAGCCAGGAGACTTTCACCTAATTACACTAATAAATCGATTTAATGTCATCATTTTGCCATCAGATCACGTCCTCCATACACTAATGTACTTGAATTAAATAAATCCTTTTTACCAGGGTAAGTTCTCCACCTCATTTTTTTCCCAGTGCTTTTCCTCTATCATTCCTCAACTACTAAATCATGTCTCCATAATATTTTCCTAAATATTAAATCTGTGAACAAAAAAGATAACCTGAATACTAGCCACAGGCGAGACAAATCAACACACCTTCAAAACAAAATATCAACATAAAGTATAAACTATTAGGTAACCAAGAAAAAGGTAAGCATCAACTGTATGCCCAAGAACCTCAATTTAAAAACATTATGTAGTATATACAATTTTGGCAAACAGAAGTGAACACAATATTTACATATCAAAATGGGCAACTATATAGCCTCATTTCTGGCTTGAGATAAAAATATCTTAATTCCATTTATTAAGTAAAATAGCCCTTTAAGGAAATACCTCCTTACAGGTATAATCATTTGATTGACAGATAAAATAATTGCTTTAAAAACACTTCTGAGTCATTTTGTGCTTACCTGCAGGCACGAACCATTACTGCATGCAGCGACTGTTCCATTCCCTAGCACAGACTTGAAGGAGCATCATATCTCTCTTTCAGAATGTGACTAATCTGTGGGTTTGCAATTCCTGAGCTATTTACAAATGGCACTCCCTTTCCACGTAAGAAAATATTTATGACAACCAAAAGCCAAGTATTTCTAACCTAGATCTTACAAATAATGTTGGTAATTTTGTAGCAACAGCCTCAAAACACAGGAAGAAAATCTAATACTAATATTTCCTTGAAGAAAGCACAATTTTTGTTTTGCAGCTCAGTAAATTATTTTTTAGAGCCTTCAACAGCTGTCACACATGAACTAGCGCTCTGCTGGGCTACGGTGTGCGTGCTGCAGCTGATTCGGCTTCACTATTTTTTAAAAAATCAATTACCCTTTGTAAAAGCAGAACAGCCTGCCCAAAAACACATCTTCAATACAGCACAATGACCAGCATGCAGTACAATGCATTATACAGCAAACTTGACAAGAAAAAAAATACGTCGGTTTGTTTCTTAGCAATGCTACACCATTAATTGTTCATGCAAGAGATGTAGCTGTACCTTTCTGAAGAGGACGACTTCTCAGAGTTAACTGACATCAGCAGCTCAATCTTCTGCTTGATTTCTGGAAAAATCAGAAAATATTCACAACCAAGATTGCCTGCCCTTGCTTTCAAGCTTTATATCAACAGATTTTTCCTCTCTGATCCCTTTTGTTCAAAAAGAGGCCACAAGATTCGCAGTACTTCTGTTAGGACTGGGATTCGATGGTGCTATAAAGGGAAAAAGCTCCAGAGGCACCAGGCCTTGCTAAACTATGCACATGACTGTTTATGAAAGCAGGAAGTACCATTTCTTTGAAGCAGAGGGGTGTTTTCTTTTTTAAGGTAGAACTAGCAGGGCTCTACCAGAAGATTTCAAATGCAGCAAATTAAAATACAAACAAGAAATGCTCACCACTGCATTCGATACCCTAGATCACCTGAGAAGCCTGGGTAATAAAGGTATGAGCTGAAAGGAACAGATGTGCAACCCTTGGCTACTTGCATTTCACCAGCCCTAAAAAAATATGGCTCAGTGAATCATTTTTGTCACTTAAGAATGAAATATTAAACCAGAACCCCAATTTATAGATTGAAATTTTTTTAACCTTTGTTATGATTTCTCACTTGTCTCTAGCTGAAGAAGCTGTTTAATACCTAGTCCCTAACTCCTTTAGAAAAAGACTTCAATTTTACACCTTAATTCTCCCCTCCTCCTTCACAGTACAGCACAAGTGAACAGCAACACCCAGTTACCGAGCAGATAATATACTTGTCCTTTTAGGAAAGGACTGACAATGCCATCTGCAACAGAAATGGAAGCGCCAACTCAATTTAATTAAAAGAGAATTGCTGATACGTATTTGGGGGGAAAAAAAGATACCAGACTAAAAGGGAAGGAGAGGTAAAAATAAAAGGGGGGAGGAAAAAAAAAACTAACACATTTCCTTTAAAAATACCAATGACTAACCTAAAAGCACATAATTTTATGTGAGTAAAACTGACATGGTCCCATTACCCAGACTATTTCACATGCAAAGCTGTTTTCCTATTCGTAAATGTTCTTCCTATGCATAATAAAAAGTTCACATACCAAAAATAAAACACCTGGCCACTGAAATACTACTATAGGCAATCTCAGGATTTCAAAGTAGACCTCAATAGTTTCGGGGTTGTTTTTTTAGGGGTAAAACAAATCTTAATTTTTAAGAATCTCGATTACAGAAATCAAACAAATATGAAAAGATAGAAAAGGAAAAGGGAATAAAAATTAGTGGCCTAAAAATACGGTGGACCTGTTCAGAAATAGCCTTTCAATGTTGTTAAAATAAGGGATTTTCCAAATTGTTTAAGCTCCCGACTTCAACCAATGGGCACTATATGAAACTGGCACAAACATCTGATGAGAGAACAGAATCTGCCACAGGCTATAGCCAAACTACCTAACCACCGGGGAGAGCACACCGCACAGTGGTTAAATGGAGATGATGATAATGAAACTTACCCTTGAGGACTCCTGCGTGGATTAACAGAATCTGGCACCAGGTGCCATAGTGAACGCTCAGTAATGCCCCTCCTGCAGGTTTCAAAAGAGTGCAGTGTTTAGAAGCTCAGGCTTGGCCGCCTGCAGCCATGGATTTGAAGGCAGGCTCCTCCAACATTTTTAATAGCCACATGACCTTTGGGAAATTAGACTCTCTAAAAGCCTCTATCTCCTCTCCTATAAAATGGGGATAATAATGGCTCGTAAAGGGCCGTTGTGATGATTTAACGAAATACAGTATTCCATGACAGTCGTGCAGATGCAGGGTTGTGCCAGACACTAGTCAGCCCTCCGCGTCTACTGCCAGGGAGCGCCTAGCAAAGGACAGTAATCCTCAACAAATATTTGCCGAATGAATTAATGAGGTACAGTAGGTCTGTCCTATCTTAAACAGCTTTTCCAGTTTTGATCCACCTTCTCCCTCTTACTATCAAGCTCAACATATACCTTTTTATCACTATAGTTTGATTAGATATGGAAGTTTAACTTTAATCTGTATCTCGGCCTCCCCATCTAAAGAGTTATTCTCAGGTTTATCAACTAGCCAAGTCAGAAATGAGGTTACACTTCATTGTGGTAATTGTTCATTTCAAAAAGACAAAAAATTCGCACTTCAGTGTATAGATTATCTGTACACGTAAGCTGAAAGACCCCAAGTTTAAGGGCGCCTGGGTGGCTCAGTCAGTTAAGCATCTGACTCTTGGTTTCAACTTGGGTTGGGTCATGGTCTCAGGGTTGTGCGATCAAACCCAGTGTCAGGCTCTGTGCTCAGCGCTTGTCCCTCTCCCTCACCCTCACATTATCTCTCATTCACGCTCTCTCAAATAAATAAATAAAATCTTTAAAAAAAAAGAAAAGACCCCAAGTTTAAACTGCACAGCTCTTAGGAAGTATATAAACATTAGAAACAAAAAGTTAAAGCTTTGAGAGCTCCAAACCAAAATGGTGTCCAATAATACATGGACAGGTTTCTACCATCATTTTCACATTTTCTTCAAACCCTCAGATTTGTTTCTAGCTCCCGAAGGACTAAAACGTTTAGGAATGTTCATAAATACGACATTAATACTGTATACTCTGGGGCCCATGTACCCCATCTATTCTACTACCCACTCCTCCTTACCAGTACCAGCCATGGTCTGATTACTCCCCACATTCATTAAGAACTCTAGAAGCCATTCCACCACAATCCCTGCCATGTGATATTCATGTTGACAGACAGGAATTCCAAAAACCCTTGGCTAAGGACCTCAGCCTCCTGAACCTCTGATCACTTGAGTCCTCTACCATGACCACACTTAGGATGCTCTCTCACACACACTACAAATCAGCTGGTTGTCCTTCTGTTTCATTCACAGTATGTAGGACCCTACACTTTATTTTATTTTTTGCAGTTAAGTCCACCAATCTTTTCCTTAATGAATGATGGTCTTCCTGTTACATTTAGACTTTCCCCACAGCAAATTTTTTAAATCACCCCATTTTCTTCTAATACACTTTATAATTTTATTTAGCATGTAAATCTTGGACCCTTTTAGAAGGTATTTCAGTCTATGAATTGATGTAGAGATCCAGTCTGCTTTTATAGTTACATTTTAAAACCTTATGCCCCCACCCCTACAATTCTAAATTACTCTCTTCACCACCACTCCTCAGTTCTTCCAAAGCAGCAATCTTACAACCCCGTAAATACATATTTATTCAACCATCCACAGTCTCCATTTATTCATTCAGGCCAATGAGTACGAAGGCCACACTTCTTTATTTCACAAAGAAAACGAACAAGTGGTTCCTATGTAGTTGGAATAAGCGTATTCAAAATTATGGTTGATATTTTTTGTCATAATTTTGTTTTAATTTCTAAGTAACATTACGGGACAACAGAAGTTTCTTGTTTTCCTAATCCTTTTGTGTTCTTATGATTCTCCTCCTAACTCTGGGTGCTTTGCTGTATCATCTTCCCTCACACACACCCTACAGGTTAGTCATACTTCTCTTGTATGACCCTCTTTTCACCCCCTCGCTCTTCCATCTATTCCCTTGACATCCACAACCAAAGGACACTGATGATGACTAAACATGAATTTCGAGCCCAATATGCTCTCCTGCAACCCAGAACTGTACATCCTTCCACCCCCAGCAGACATCTTCACCTATCTACACGGTCCCAACATGCCTTGAACGCAGCATCTAAGGCTGATACCCTCATCGACTTCTCAGTCCAGGGTCTCCCTGAACAGCAGCAGCGTTGCCCTTCTGAGCCAGGAATTTCTGAAGGATCCCAGACCAGCACCCCTGTCTCATCTGGAGTATCATTACCACCACTCACCCTTTTCAATCTATTTTATGTTCTAGGAACCCTGAGCGCTACTCTGCGCTTCCCCAAACACACCACGCTTTCTCACACAGCCAAGTCTTTTCTTACGCAGTTTCCTTCCCTGGGATGCCAGTGCCCACTCTGCTTCCCTTGCACAGCCAACTCCCTTTTCTAATCTCAGCCCAAGTGCTACCTCCCCTCTGACAGCGTCCCAGACAGAATACACTTCACCTCCTCTGCCCCTCCGCAGATCACATACACTTGCACTAGAGAATTACTAAAATACATACACTACTTGTCTGACAGCCCTGAGACCACAGCTTCCTTAGGGAAGGGGAACTGACATTTCACTTCAATTCACACTTACTTATTGAGTCTTTGATGGTTTTCTTAGCCTATTCTAGTCAAAGTTACAATCTACCTAAATTAGCTTCCTTATTCTTTTTTTTTTTTTTAAGATTTTTATTTATTTATTTATTTGAGAGAGAGAGAGAGAGCACATGAGAGGGGGGAGGGTCCGAGGGAGAAGCAGACTCCCTGCTGAGCAAGGAGCCCGATGCGGGGCTCGATCCCGGGACTCCAGGATCATGACCTGAGCCAAAGGCAGTCACCCAACCAACTGAGCCACCCAGGCGCCCTAGTTTCCTTATTCTTAAATATACATTTCCAGATACAGTACCTCTGACTAGGGGTTCAAACAACTGCAGAGTTAGAAGAATCCTCAGAGATCACCACCTAGCTGAACCATCTGAATTTATGAAGAAGAAACTGGAGAGTTAAAAAGATAAACAACTGTAGCAAGAACACTCTTCACCTTCTCCAAAAGACTACCGTCTCTGAGAGCTACAGCTAAATTTCCAAGGACTAGCAACCCAAGCAGAACATTCAGCTTTCTTTAAAATCAGCTTCGGGATGCATGGGTGGCTCAGGCCGTTGAGCATCTGTCTACCTTTGGTCATGATCCCGGGGTCCTGGGATCGAACCCCACGTTGGGCTCCCTGCTCAGCGGGGAGCCTGCTTCTCCCTCTCCTCCCCACTTGTGCTTTCTCTCGCTCTCTCTCTCTCTAAAATCTTTAAAAAAAAAAAAATAAAGTAAAATCAGCTTCTAAATTCCACTTTCTCCTATCTCCAATCAATTAAAATCATCACTATTAGTCAGCTTTCTTGATTACAACAACTGGTCTATGACACCATATTCTTGTTATGCGTCTCTTTACACACCAAAAAGGAAAAACCAATTCACCAGGATCTCCCACTCATTCTCCTCTATCCAATCCATAGGCCTTCTTCACAAAAACCTTTTATTCTCATACCAACACTTTAAAAGATACTCAAATTCCTTGTAAAGATGAGTATTTTTAATTCTTTGGTTAAT